GTCTATTATTTACTGATTTTCATTCCTTACATACTCGGTACATTATTTGTACTGACATCCCTTACATACTCGGTACATTAGGCTATCAGCTCAGCGGAATGTGATGGTGCGCTCCATTTGCTCCGGAGTTGCTTGTTTGGTCAGTATGATTTAGACGTGTATTGTTTGGTATGACGGGGCTCTGTCCCGGCAGTCAGTTTTCGGATTGGTAACTGAAAAATAGCCAGTATTTATAAAATCATTAAAAAATAGCCACTATTTTGCTGCAACACGGATCGGTCCAGCATAATATACTGGAGATTGATGCACCTGTGTATGAACTTCCAGCATATTATGCTGGAACTCCAACACGCGGAAAGTTCCAGCATAATATACTAGAGATTAGAGCACATGTGTATGAACTTCCAGCATATTATGTTGGACCGGTATATTATACTGGAACTCCAGTATAATATGCTCTCCAGTATAATATGCTGGAGTGATTTTGAATAGTATTTTCGTTCACATTTATCTTTACATGAAAAGTGGCTAAATTTCGATTCATTTTGAAACTGTGGGTATTTTTCAATTACCACTTGTAAATCTGGCTATTTTTGAATTTCTCCCATATTAAATAGAGAAACTATCAGCTATGTCCATTTATAAGTTGCTTATTATAAAAAGTGGCTAATTCATAAGATATTACTAATATTAGCCAAATATTACCAATATTAGCCAATTAACTATTCATAGTAAAAAAAAAAGGTCAAATTTTTGCTTTCTTTTGAGTGGGTGTTATTAGAATAGATTGGGTACATCTTAAGAAGTTTGACTCCCAGTTTTGGGATGATTTGGTGGAGTTTTGAGATGATTTGAATTGAAAATTCGAAGTAGAAGATGGACATGGAAAAAATAATATGTGTATCACATATGTATCATATTAGTATCAAATGTGTATCACACGTATATCCATGTATACCTGTGTGTAGATACATGTGTGATACGTGTTTGATACATGTGTCATAAAAGAATTTTTTGAACTCGATTTTAACTACGAATTTTGATACCAAATCAGTCCAAATCACTTCCAATCTTCCTCAGATTTTGTATATTGACTCATCTACATGTTTTCGATGAATTTCAACCATACCCATTGAAAAATGTCCTTTTTTGCTTAGATTTTGGAATCTTGAATATATATATTTTTTGTATTTCATCACCTTATTTGCTACTTCATCCATAAAATTTTCTTTCCGTCTTGCATCTAATGTTTCTAATCACAATTAAAATATGAAAAGAGATTTTTGAGTGTGATTCTTGGAGAGAAAGAACCTTATTAATTTGAGTTCTTATTAATTTGAGTTTTCAATTTTTATATGTGTTTGGCTAGAATTGATAAATTTATGATTAATGATTAGAGATTGGTAAGTTGAGACTTATTTGGGATATTCCCGTAAGATTCCCTATTAAATATCTATAAGTAGACAATTTTCGTAAAATAAGCTACTCATGAAATTCGTCTATAACGTATATTATAACTCGTATTGGTTACTGAAATCAATTTATCTATTTTCCTAGAAAGCATACCGGGGATCATTTTAAGGCTCCTCCTCTGAATGGATTGTAATGATTTGAGTGATTGTTATTCACTGCATTACAAGCTGATCCTTATTCAATTTGTTCGTGAACCAAAATGATTTTTTTATTTTTTTTTATATTCGAAAAATCCCCAAAGACCAATAGCCCAAGATCAGTGTAATCAAATTCGAATTGTGTAGTTCTTGTGGAGAATAGTCATTTTGTTTGTGCATCTTTTGGGAAAAATTTGCAACCTTGAATTTAATGAAACAGTTGGGTCTCTGAGTCCAGAAAGATCTTCAAACTATACTGAAGAAAAACATACCTACACACTGTTTTCTCATAGAAAAATCATCTTTGATCAATCTTTATCTCAGGAGAAACTACGATAAGGATGACACCTATCCCTTCAAATGATTAATTGAACAGTCAACCAGTACTTATCAAATATTAAATAAAGGGATCAAGTTAATGTTAGAATTATATTAGTATTTTTTTTTGCTTAAAAGTTAATGATAGAATTCCATCAAAAGATGATGAATTTTACGATTCAACAAAAGCAAGAAGATAGAACTCTAATGAGTATATCATCATTTTAAAAGGTTGTCTCTGTAATTGGAGTTCTGCTCTAAAAGCAACCAATTACAACACGACTTTGCCTGTAAATATTCCAGTTGCATGTAAGTCCAATCTTGAGATGGACATATTCTAACATGTCTCTTTTAGTAAAAGGGTAATCAAAAAGATAAGGCATAAAGCAGCAGCAGAAAGCGGAAAGTACAATTTGACCTTCAATTACTATACAAAACAGCGCAGAAAAATAATCTTATACTGTATCTGACTATTCTTGATCAGGAAGATTAGGAAGGAAAATATTAATCAGATAAGTACACTAATAAAAAGTTGGTTTGAGATTTGGGAGTTTATATTGATTAGTTAAGCACTGCTGATTAATTTAAGCAAATGTTACCATCAAACGAAATATGCCAGTTCTTAGAATCTCATTTGTGACTTGGTAGTCCCAACTCCCACATAATATTACTCCACTACACATACATAAAGGTACATTACTGCAAAAATAATGGATTTTTGCTTGCTGATTCAACTAGAAAGTTAAATTTGCCAACCCAATGCCAGCTTTATTTGTAAAAGGGCACAAAGAAGCATGATTCACATGAACTGCGAACACCTAACTAAGCCTAGCAATAAGATCTCTATTCTTTTAGCAGAGCAATTAGATCTATAGCATTAACAACAATAAAATAATGTATCTCAATTCCAAGCAAGATGAATTACATCGAAAAAGGCATATGATCTCTCTTTTGTGGGTTGTTTCTCTCGTATCTGACCTATCCAAGTTAGCCCTTCCAAGCTTGGCAAAGAGGTGGATCGTCCGATCTTAAAATAGGTCATCAGTAAAGAAAATTACAAAATGAGCATATGTAAGCGGGTGTAGCTAACCGAAGAGCGGAAAAAGGAATCACAAAATTAAACTTACCGAATCATCATAAAAAGAGGTGGACCAAATTTTTATTTATTCATGAATTGATTCATCATCCAACTTGATATTTGTACAAAGCCAACTTACAAATGCAGACTACTAATGAACAAATATTGGTTAAACTCACATAAATTTCAATCCTTTATGCATCCATTCTTAGCAAATGAGCAATGGAACACCCTCAAGTCACATTTAGGAGAAACCATCTTAAAAAACAGCTTTGCCGTATCCTCTTGCCTTACCTTAGCACCTTCCTTCTCCACCAAAGCCGCCGCCACAATCCGCTCATATCCACCACCACCTCCGGCGACATAAGCCACCAATGCCGCCTGCACTGGCCCTAAACTTGGATTATAAGCAGCTGATTCCACATAAGAACCTCTGTAAATCTTGCCTTCAGAATCCATGAGTGCCACCCCTGATGGACACCCGCTGTACGGCGCGTGTGAGTCATTAGCAGCCTCTAAAGCTGCAATCTTTAAAAGGCTTTCCTCTGTTTCAGTCTTTTTGCGAAATCCATTGCTTAAATTCACAACGCCATTAACTCTTTTCGAATCATTATCTGAAAACCCATTGCACAGATCTCCATCGTGAATATAATTAGACAGAGATAAACCGTTGTTATGGCGCTCGAGGAGCAGAGGAGTTTCGTCATCCAATAGATCAAACGGACCAAATGGGTTAGGCAGGATTTCACTCAAAGGTTTAAATGTGACATCATCGGGATTGTTTTGGTGCTGAGATGTGATGTGGATTTGGAGAGAAGAAGGGTTGCGGAGTTCTTGAAGGAATTGTCGGCAGTGGCCGCAAGGAGCGGCGGAGACGGCGAATGCGACGAGGCGGGGGCAACGGTGGACGGCGAGGTTCGTGAGGAGAAATTGCTCGGCGTGGACGGAA